GGGGGGGCGAGAAATTTTTCTCAATAGTCAACGGTGTGCTGCCGAAGGCAGCAGCCCGAGCGCGTAGCGCGAGGAGGGTGAGGGTACAGGAGGGGGTTTTCCCACTCTCCTTTAAGGGGGGTTTGGGGGATCTCCCCCAAAAAAATGTGTTTTCTAGAACGTCTCAGAAGCGATATCCCGTGTTCTGAGGATTGTTTTTATGTTTAATTAACAAAAAACATATATGGCCCAAAGATTTTTGTTTGTGTACTGGAAAGAAAATTAAAGTTTCGGTTCAAATTCTCTATCGACAGCGTGTTTTAGAAGTCAGGTGGTATTATTATAGGGGCAACCTGGTGATGACAAATGTATGAATCCATAGGGGGCTTGTTCATTATTACCTAATTTGGCGTCCCGCCCGCAAGGGGGATACGAGAGGTCCACCGTCAAAAAATAAATGTAGGGACGCACAATATCTAGTCTTCAGACATTGTACCTTCAGTACAGTACTTCATATAATAGTGTGTCGTACAAAAGAACAAATAACACCATAACATCGTTGCTGTTTAATTAATGAGTTACTCATGGCATCACTAAGTTGCTAAACAAACGGATAAGTTCAAATCAGTGCGACACCCAAGGCCACTAGCTATATAGTATCGCGTTTTATAATTGTTGACTAATTCACTAGTGTAGACAATGATATATCCCCCCCCCCCCTAAATCCGCGCCTGTGAAGTTTTGTTAAACTCTGTGACCTGTAAAGTAGGTTGAGGTAATTTGCATTCGCAAACTTTGGTGAGCTCTATCCCAAGAAACCACCATCCAAATTTTATGAGTCTATGCCTTTCGATTATTTAGAGGTCGGGTTTTTTTTGACATATTTGACCCATATGACATTGAAAGTACGTCAAGGTCATAGTCATTCTCAAAATGTGTCGGGCTCCGTCCCAAGAAGCTACCAGCCAAATATGAAGATAGAACTCAAAGATAGGAATAGTTCATTATGAAATTTCAGCGGTGAACGAGTTAAATACATTTGAGCTGAAATACCTTGCAAGGGTAATGTATTTTAACAAACGTGTGAGTCCTTTAACCACCAGGCTACAGGTCAAACAGCATGATGCGCTGTGTTAAATGACACATTGACCGTAAAAGTGAGTCAAGACGTTTATCATGCTTTTACAGATTTTAGCCCATTAGAACCGTATATATTTAAACTGAAGGTGATTAATTTGAAAATACTGAGAGCCTTTAATCTCAACAAGTAACTGGCTAAATAGCATAAATCTATCGTTCTTGATTAATCAGATAAAGAAATAAAATGACATTGTATGGGCAACACCTTATCTCAAACTACAGACAAAATAATGTCAGACAATGGCAAGTTCAATTTATGCATTGGTAACTGAAAATATGTTTGTCTATCGTGTCGTAACCGTCACATGTTATTATCGAACATTCAGATCAAACAAGAGATCCCAGAGGGATCTTGGCGCCCATCATTGTACCATCTTCATTAGTTCTTTGTCAGTTCGATCTTTTCTCTTCTTTCCTCTAACCTGTTTGATCGAGTCATGTTAACAGTAAATGCACCTTGAGGTAACTTTTGATCTAAACTTGATACTGATGTGTGTGAAAGCCAACCTTCAAAGTGAGTTTGTCATTTCATATATTTACTAGTACAGTACTTAATGTGAAAGAAATAGAATCGATCAATACAATATGAGAAAGATCTGTTTAGTTCTTCCTTTAGCCATTTTGTTTTTATGATCAGTCTCAAAATATAACATGCACAACAAGGAATCAAGGGAATTCTACATATCAAATTTGAGAAAGATTCCCCAAGCTATTCTTGAGAAATAAGCACTAACAAACCTTCAATGTCAAAAATCGAAGATGGCTGTCGGTAGGCCATTTTGTTTAACTGATCAGTTTCAAAAGTAAACATGAACAATAAAGGATAGTGGGGAACCTGCATATAGAATTTGAGAAAGAACCCTCCAGTACTTCCTGGGAAATAGCACTAACAAACCTTAACTGTCAAAATCAAAGATTTGTGTATTCGATCAGTCTCATAAGAAAATATGCATGACTTCATACCAAGGGAACCTACATAAAAAAATAAGAAAGATCTCTCCAGTATTTCCCGATTAATAGCCGTAACAAACCTTCACTGTCAAAATCCAAGATGACTTCATGTTGGCAATTTTATTTTTCTTATCATTCTTAAAATTAAATATGCACAACTACAGATCTAGGGGAGCCTAAATAACAAATTTGGAAAGATCCCTCTAGTACTTCCTGAGCAATAGCAATAACAAACCTTTTAATGTCAAAATCCAAGACTATGGCCTCTCGGCCATTTTCTATCCGATCAGTCTAAAAATTGAACACGTACAACTACAGACCAAGAGAAACCTACAGATAAAGGTTTAGGTGGATATCTCCAGTACTTCCTGAGAAATAGCGATAACAAACCTTCACTGTCAAAATCCAAGATGGCTGCCTGTCGGCCATGTTGTTTATCCGATCAGTCCCAAAAGTTGCCCTGCACAACAAGAGACTAAGGAGAACCTACATATAAAATTTGAGAAAGATCCCTCTGGTACTTCCAGAGAAATAGTGATAACAAACCTAAACTGTCAAATTCCAAGATGGCTGCCCGTCGGCCAGGTTGTTTATCCGATCTGTCTCAAAAGTTGCCTTGAACAACAAGGGAACAAGGGGAACCTACATATAAATTTGAGAGAGAAATAGCCATAACAAACTTTGACTGTCAATATCCAAGATGGGTGTCTGTCGGCCATGTTGTTTATCCGATTAGTCGCAATAGTTGCACTGCAACCTGTTTACCGTTCTCTGTTACCTGTTTTCAGAAAGCAGTGTGTGAAAACAGGTAACTTTTCTAGTACATATGAATACACTGTAAACGGTGTACCCCAAGGTTCTATCCCGAGGCCCCTACTTTTTAATGTGTTCATAAATGACATTTTTTCACCATTAATGATGCAACATTACTAAATTATGCAGACGACAATACTTTATCATATGTAGATTCTTGTTACCAGAAAATGATAAAATTTTTAGAAAGGGAAAGTTTAAATTTAATAAATTGGTTTGATGTAAATCAGATGCAAGCAAACCCAGAAAAAAATCAGGCCCTAGCCATTGGCAAACAAACTTTTGAACAAAAACCCATTTTTTGCATTGGCGACACTAGTATTCCGTGTGAGGAATCAGTAAAACTACTTGGAGTCAAAATTGACTACCTCCTAAATTTTTCTCAACATATAACAAATATCTGCAACAAGGCATCAAGACAGATAAATGTATTAAAACGCATCGGGCAAAATCTCACTGTTAAAGGACGGAAGGCAATTTATAACTCTTTTATACTTTCAAATTTTAAGTTCTGTCCCTTAGTGTGGCATTTCTGTAATAAAGGTTGCACTGACAAAATTGAAAAAGTAAACTATAGGGCCCTGAAATTTATCTACCAGGATTTTGACTAAAGTTATGAGGTCCTTTTAAGAAAGTCTCAGACAAACATGCCACATGTGGAGAGACTAAGGAAAATAGCCATTGAAACTTTTAAGATTGTCCATCTTATCTAAAAAAAACCAGTACAAACTAATAACAATGAACATGATTCTTTCATTTCAGGTATGGTAACATGTTATAAGTATCTACGGCAAGAACGGAACAGCTTCTCGTACCTCGCGGCGAAACTATGGCAAGATCTTTCGGCTGAGACAAGAAATGCTGTGGATGTTGCCAGTTTCAAGGCATGTATGGGAAGCTGGAACGGCCAAACCTGTAGATGTGCCATGTGTAAATCCGTTACGTCTTAACCATGTGAATATTTTAAATTGTTTTTTGCATGCCCGTTTTAAGTGGCCTTTTTTTTTAGGTATGTTTAGATATGTTTAAATGTGATTGAAGCTAGCTGCTGCTCCTGCTTTTGTGCTTTATTATGTTAGTTTGTGTACTGAAGTATGCTTTATGTATCTTAAAATTTTAAGATTTCAAAATTTTATAAAAAGTTTTGATATATTATCAGCCTGTGATATGTTTCTAAATTTATCTGTGATTATGTTGAATATATGACCTTCTATAATAAAATTAAAAATAACTAATCCTGAGTTACTGCGGTGCAGGTCGAGCATACCATGCTGGTAGGAGGCTCCCCAACCCTTGGAGCTGACCATGTACCACCGTACTATCGATCTTTTCTCAAGTTCTATTATATCTTTCCTTCATCTCAAACCAAACTATAAGCAAAAATGTGATAAAGTTATGAATAAATTCAATCCGATAAATGTAACCTGCCACTTTTACCGCATTAATATGTTATTCTTATTCATTTAAAAATTAAATGATTTTATTGGGTGCTTCCTCTCTATTTGTATCTTTTACAGCACGAACACATCTTGTTTAATTAATGAAACCCTGTTTTATGTACGTTTTATTTGTTATGTCGATTGTAAAAGCTCACTAAACGAGCTTGTGTTTATCTTTGTAATCATATCGACGTTAAATAAAATTTACTTGACTTGACTTGATCTGTTTGATCGAGTCATGTTACAGTAAATGCACCTTGAGGTAACTTTTGATCGAAACTTAATACTGATGTGTGTGAAAGCCAACCTTCAAAGTGAGTTCGTCATTTCAAAGCTGAAATGTATTACACGAACAGTTCCACTTTTACACTACAAATAACCATTGTAACAATTGAAGACAAGAAAAACAAACACTGAAGTATATTTTTTCTCAATTTTTATTTTTCTGTTCAAGTGTTCTGAAGAACATTGAATCACAGTAAATGAAGGGTAGCAGGATAAAGAACATAGTCCTTGACATAGGTCGTTGATATCCTAAAATTATAATGTGTGTATACAGTGGGAAAACACGTCTAGTCTCTTGTATAATCAAATTTACATGTGTGTAAAATGTTGAACAATTGTTATTGTAATATTTCATTACAATTATGCCCAACTTTAAACATAGCTGTGGGCAAACCAGTAACAATTTACACTAAAATTCTAAAATCAACAATAGAAAAAAAGTAACAAAAATCTGTTTGCACAACCATACTATTACCATGGAAACACTGTACAGTCACCATAGAAACGAGGCTATAGTTGATTTACCCGAGGCAAACATCTGACCTTTGTTATGGTGAGTGGCACAAAAGAGATATGCTCCTGACAGAGACAACTACATGGACCTTGTGGTTAGGACATAGCTCACATGTTAAATACATGTATATTGCATAAATGTTTATCAGGACCGGTAACTCTTGCACCTCAGCTTTCATATGTTAGCTCCTTACATTACCAACACTGAGGTGGGAGGTCACAGGGTATAGTGGTATGACTACACCAGTATTGGTACTATATGGTGAGATTTTCTCATTTTTCTTTTATATCAATAATATATATATATCAAATACTGATAAAATATGCTTTTTTCAATAAAAAGTTAAAGCAGATGCTACTATTTAATGAGGAATTAAAATGCAATCTGTGGACAATACCAGTTAAGAGCTGCAATGATTCATTATTCCGTCTAATTCTACATCTTCTTGAACATTTTTTTTTTTAATTTTTAATGTAAAAGTTAGGGAGGTACAGTGACTAGTTTAAAGATATGGTGAGAGCAAACATCTAGGGATTCATACCATTATAGCTGCATTTATACAACAAACACACTTCATACATCAAATAAAACCCTTTCCCCCTCCCCATCAACTATGCCTTAATGCCCAGTCAGACATTCCATGTGCCGCTACGGGGATGCCAGGGTTGTCATATAAAGGAGATACTGAATGGTTTATCAAACAAAGAATAATTTGAATCATGATGTTAATATATATATTAATTATGATACATGATTTTTTCCCCTTCTATTTAGCACTAACATCACCTCCACCACATGGAAATCATACACAATTTCATTGTTGAATTAACTCACTGGGTCAACATAATTGTTGCTACCATCCACAACTACACATCAAATCAATTTACACTGATGAGCTCTAATCAAAATGTTACACAAATATTGTGCCGAATATCAGCATGAAAAGCAGAGGAAAATTAAAACAAATAATATACATGGCAATTGTAGATCACAACTCAAAACTTCTTGTGTAGATGTAAATAGTCAATACCAGTTTTCTGATATTTTAGCTGAAGTAGAAACCAGTCACAGAAATTGTGGAAGATGTTTCCGTGATCAGTGGTTGGTGTTTCCAATGAACAAAATTATGCTAACAGCATCACTCAAGATTCTTCAGTAAACAATATATTGCAGGGCAGCATTGAAAACGGAAGGCTTTCGAATCCAGTCGTATATATCACTGTTAAAAATTTCAATGATAAAACTTTTAAAATGCTTGCATAACAAACAGAAAGTATGGGTTTACAATAACAAATACATCCTTCTAGTCTTAACAGCATCCATATACAAAAAGGAGAAAAATAACTTGAAAGTGAGGAGACACTAAGGCATCGAAATGCTTGGAATCTATATGGCAGTTGATTCAATATTAAGTATTAATAAATGAATCACAAAGTATCACACCACACCCATACATCAGCATTCATTCAAGTTTCATTATAATCCACCCCCCTCCCTTACCCATTAAGTANAACTTTTAAAAAAAAAAAAAAAAAAAAAAAAAAAAACATTGCTGACATTTGTGTAAATCAAACAATGAAATGAGAGATTTTTTACAAACTGATAGAATGGCACAAATAGTACTTCCTTATCTCCCAAAAGCAAGGTAATTTCATTTTTTTTAATCAACCTTGAAAGTTCAAAATTCCAATGAGGTACCAGAAACTAGTCAATGGTTATTTTGACCAATCCTACCAAAAGGAACAGCGACCCTCTGATGGCAAATACCACAGCCAAGAGGTGATAAACAGGGCCAACTGTCCCGAGAAATATAGGTGTCAAAACATAGGGCCGGTCAAACACACAGGACTCAAACATGTTTAAACACTGTTGAGAGGACAGAAACCATATCTAATGGTGAGCTTCACAGTCGTGTTAGCAGTGTCTACCTCTTGCCAAAGGGTGTGGGTCCCCAGGCGCGACCAGGGTTGGGAGCAGTAACAGCACCGAACGAGGGGAACTCTTCTGTGCTGGTGGTATCTGGAACGCTATCCCATGGGCCATTAGCAACCAAGAAACCCTGGGGAGGTTCTGGGTTGCGTCTGCCACCACCTCCCTGCTTACTTGGTGGTCTAGTAAGCTGTTGCATGGCTTCCTGGTCTATCACGTCCTGGAGCTGTAAAACAGAAAAGTATTAATGAATGTACATGTATCTATTACTGGTATGTTAACTATCTAGACTAGGGCCATACAGAATTTATTGCTTGGCTCTCTGGTTGTTTTCTTTCCCAAAACACAATTCTATTCAGACTCATCCTGCATCCAATGGAAAATGCTTCATACTGGTAAAGCTTGAAATCTGTTGGACTGGGAGTTTAAAAAATATATTGTAATCAAATAGGATTCACATTTATTGTTTTGTTTGAATTTAATTTAGTATTTTTTTTACGAAGAGCAATACAAAAAAAACACGCGAGTTCAAAATATTTCCAGAATATCTGTAGAAATCAATAGTTAATGATTTATGCATTGATGTTACTCCAACATACTGGGCCACTAAGGTATAACACAAATTATGAGCATAGCAATACTTAACAAGGTTACCGCGAGCGGTATATAATACGCCCGTCACACATTGAATGAGCAGTTGTTTGTATGATTGAAATATATGAAGCATTTGTGAGTAATTGATATTGAAAGAGAAATCATTCAACATAACTGGTAGATCAATGAGTGCAATTCAACATCATGGAACACATGCATCGCATTAATGAAACCAAGGGGAATAACTCCAATAATTACGGTCGGATAATGGCGGTTATCAAACTTGTCCGAGGTTTCATGCTAATTAACCTTGTTGTGAAGTTTGAAGTTAATCCGTTAATAATTACTCGAGATATCGAGCGGACACTGTTTCGGCAAGT